CGGGGTTGCTGGGAGAGCAGGCAGGGGATGGGGGCTGGCAGGGGTCCCCCTATGGTCCTGTCCCCTCTGCCCCCGCTCCCCCGCCCCTAGTACAGTACTTATCAGCTCGGAGTTGGCTGCATCTCCCTGCTGCAGCCAGCGGGGACCGTCCAAATCATCAAAGCTCTCCAAATCTTTTCTGAAGATTTGGAAAGCTTTGAATTGATTCGGACCTTTTAACTGGTCCCCTGGTTTGATTCAGATTTGGAGATTCGGCCGCTAAATCAGGCCGAATCTCCTCCAAATTGAGTCACCACCCAAAACTTCGCACAGCCCTAATGGAAACTCTATAAAATCCTACTTGAAACTAAAAATCTTCATTCTTCCTCTTATCTGGCCTTTCCACAAAGCCAAGCACTTAACCAAGTATGACAAATGTGGCAGAATTGTCAGCTGAAAGCAGTAATTTAGGGGCCTTTTGTGTATTCAAAAATCAATTTTCTGTATTATAAAGCATGACAGAGAGAAAGCTGTGCACTACCACTCATCTCAGTGGTAAAGTATCAGTGATGTAAACTAAATACTGCTTAACCCTATTTTTCTTTATCCATATTTCTTCCCAGGCCTATGTCAAAAAGCAGTATGCCTGTTGATTCCTCTTTCTCCCATACAAACACTAAAAGAAACATCGCTCACTAACATAACTATCTTTTAAAAACAAGCAATGAATTTATCATATCTGTTTGCAAGGCCCTTTGGGAGCCTTCAAGAAGAAAGGTGCCATACATACAAGCTCATTATCATCATTAACTTCACTGATACACCAGCTGAGCACAGAAGAATCATGCAGAAAAAATATGACAAAAAAAAAAAATATTTTTGTGTGTCTTTTTTTCCTTGCTGGTCATTTTATTTTCCCAATCATAGAAATTTTATTACATAAAGTTTGCAATTTATTGACAAGCCTAGGATTCAGTTTCAAAACTTAACTCTCCCAGATAACACCTATACTGTGGGTGCATCTACATGTCCCCCTACAGCGATGTAGCGACGCACTACATCACCATATGGTGCATTACGGTGATCTAGCAATCACATAGGCCTACATGTGGTCAGCAACTACACCACCGTAGTGGCGTGCTCCCCCGGTATAGCATGCCGCTACGGTGACATAGTGGCAAAATATAACTGTACTCTGCATGCACATTGCAGTAACCACCTGTACTGCACCATGCTTTAGTATTTCCTTTTGGAAGTTCTAAAGCATGGTGCCATAGCAGTGTCACACTATGGTGACCCTATATTGCTAAGAATGACTAAAATGGCTTAATTTTTATTATGGTACATTTAACAAGAGTAGTGTCTATTTCACAGCACTTGTTCTCTTACGTTGATAAATATCATATAATTCCCATTGTCACATCTCTCAAATAATAGGATTAAAAACGGATTCAAGGCAAATGAGAATTTTCAGAGCTCTTTGTGTCTATGTAATTGTGCAGTGTACAAGAAAGAGTCTTACTCCTATATAGAAACTGAATCAGCCCCTAGGTTTATGTTCTACTCACAGCAGATTCAGAGTGCAAAATAGTCTCTTGGCTCAGGGATGTGTGAGATGTGGTCTGCAGGCTGGATTGGGACCACAGACAGGCCCCATGTACCGGATCCAGCCTACAGGGCTGGTCTGGGCATGCCTTGGCATAGCTGCGTGTGTTGTGCTGCTTGCAGTTGCATGTTGGCTGCAGTGCTGTATGCATCAACCCAAGCCCTGCACATAGCAGGTGGTGCGTGGTTGCGCACTACACGCAGCACCGCAGGCCCAGTTTGGGGTGCACGCTGCATGTGGCACCCACACCAGACCAGCCTGTTGCACAGGTTCTGGCATGGACAGCCTGCCTGCCTGCAGGCCCGCTCTGGGTTGGCCCCATTCAGCTCATGCCAGACTGACTTTACACACCACATGCTCTCACAAAATACTTCTTGAATGATCTTCATAACCCTGAGTTTATATTGTGAACAGGCAAGATGTGTTAGCAAAAGCAGAGAAAAGTGAGTTTTAAGTTTGGATTTGGCATAGCACCAGAAATATTTTCAAATGCTTTGGGACTAAACAGGGACCAAACACTCTTAGAAGTGTTTAATATGAATGAAAAATAGAAAGAACAGTGTTAGGGGAACTTAACTTTAAAGCTATTGCCATTAGCAATTGTACTGTGTTTGAGTATGGTCAGCTTTGGTTAACTTGGAAGTCGAGAGGAAGGCGTTTACTGGGAAGCTAGGATGGAGAGAGTGAGCCAGGGGTGATACTTCAGATTCTGAGCAGCAATGATCGTCCTTGGCTGGGATGATCTAGTTGCGGTTGGTCCTGCTTTGAGCAGGGGTTGGACTAGATGACTCCTGAGGTCCCTTCCAGCCCTCGTTTTCTGATTCCATGCAGTGGCGACGTGCAGGGGGAGCACGTGCACCCCGTGAGAGCGCTGGTGCACCCCTGCCAGGCCGGGCTGCCCACTTAGGTGATGGGTGGTGGGGCAGACAGGGGCGCCTCCCAGACAAGCGCTGGACGGTGCGGCTTCGGCCGCGCTCTCCCCCCCGCTCGGCCAGACAGGCTGTGGGGGGACCCCTCACCGCCCCTGCTTCGGATGGCACCAGCTGCCAATGATCCCGTGTCACCGCCCACGCAAGAGACAAGGAGAGTCCTTCCCCTTGGCGAGCTTCTGATGCAGATTTGCTCGAGTGGAGGATATTGACACTGAAACTGGTGCCAGGCTTCCCTGTGTATTTCCATGCCTGGGTACCCTTACCCTTTCTGCCTGTCTCATGCTAGGTGGCTTGCTTTCCCTTCCCCTCCCCTGTCCTGAGCTGTGCGAGATGAATTCATGACACCGGCCTTGTCCTGGGCTTGCCAAGCGGCTCCTCCAGCTGCGGGGGGTGGGCACAGGGGGCAGCTGAAGGCGGGGCCCCGCCCGGCACCCGCGCTCTCCGAGTCCTGTCCTGGGATGCTTGGCACCGCCTCGGGGAGCCGGCGCGGGGAGCGGACAGCCCTGGCAGTAGCGGCCCCGCTGGGGGAGGAACGGGGGCAGG